TTGGATGTTTTTACCTCGGACTGTGCGTTCATAGTGGAATTTGGTATCGGCGCGAGTGTAGAAACGTGAGAATAGCGCAGCGGAGTCTCAAGCAACACCCAGGTGTTACTACTCTTCAGCCTCATTTCTGGAGTTCCGCTACCTATTGCCGACCGTGCAGTTGAAGAGTTGCCCCTCTTCTGTTTAGTACTGCCATCGCGCAGAAATCGGATACTTGCATTGCAATAAGTCATGGCAGCTGGCAACAGTTTATTAGTATAGTTGGAACAAAAACCTCAACAGCTGGAAACAGATAAAAGTAAGCGAAAACAAAATCTCAAAGTGATGTATACACTCGCTGTCATTCCTGGATATAAGCTCGTCCGAGCGCGGGTTAACTCGTACGATTTCAAAGGGGGACCTATTTTTGGGCTTGAAGCTGTTCGTTCTGCTGTTTTCTTCATAGTCTAGATACTTACCCCTGTGGTTCGTAACATGAGCGTCGGTGTCCGTCACCTTACCACTGTACACTGTACCAGCACTAACAAGCTCATTTTCAGGCTTCTCAGAGCTTATTGAGCTTGGCTGATCGTGAGAATTCTGATGTGAAGCGACAGAGGGTGCGTTTTATTTCGATGTATTCTTTCCTTATGTAATATTTCGAGGCTGTGACAAGGTGTCCGCTACATAGTGGAATTGTGATTGTTCCAGCATCTCTATGCCTTTGCGAAGCTAGCTGCCGCTTGTAGTGATGCAGCATCTGAAGATGTGATTAACGAGGCTAACAGGAAACTGGTGCTTATCAAACATCATCGTTGATTCCTGAATCTTTAGTCAAGGTATATCACGAAAGCCGGCGCAGTTCGGCTTGGTGGGGGCACCGAATGAGCCTCGTGAAGACCTGTAGCTCTTGTGACCGTAGTGGCTCACTCGCACCGTTTCGCAGCTACAAAGAAGCATACAGGTCCCAAAATGAGATCTATTATTAACATGAAGTAGTAAAATGAACGAGAAAAAATGGAAAATCCGTCTTCAAGCCGAACAGCGTCCGATGGCTTTCTTTATTCAGTGAAGTAGTTTCGCCTTGGGCGATCCGGAACCGACTTGAAGGGTTGTCATTCAGATGTTTTCCCTGATAACCCTAATCGTCCACTGACTGCGCTGGAAATAATCGAGTTGAATATGCTTGATCCGGAGATTGTAGAAGGACACAAAAGGTTGGCATCACACTTTCTTCGGTTACAGTATCCTTTCCTTACATTTATCTTAGTTTTCGGTACTTTTCTGCCAGCGTTACTAGAGACTTTTTTCCCCGGAATACTTACTTCTCGCAGTGCGAACTTCTAAACGAGTAACTTGTGCCAGTCTACAGTATTGCCCATTGGTGTTACGCTCGCGGTAATCCCTACAAACCATATGGCGTGTGATGCGAGCAGATTGCAGTGGCAAACAGCACGCCTTTTTAAACCCAGTGAGATGGCTATTCTGAGCCGATACGGATAATGGGAAATCTGAACTGGCAGCACTGCTAAGCCATGCTTGGATCATGCGCCCCATCGTTTGCAAAGATCATGATTGTACCTCGTCTGTGCTGTAACTTTTGAAACAGTACAGTTCTAACCTTGTAGATAGGCACACAGAAACGTCTCCACGGTGTTAGTGACTGAAGCCCAGTTTGACGCTGACATCGTGTTTCTTCTGGTTAGGCGAATGTTGCTCAAAGTTGAGAACATATCACGAACGGTAAACTTTCAGAGCTTTGAGTTTTGCTGCTATACTGATTTGTGTACTCATTTTCTAAAAAATCTGAAGGGTACTCAGGTCCCCCCGTAGATTTTTGTAGAACTCAAAATGAGATACTTGTGCCGCACTCATTTTTTACTTTTACTGCGTCTGCCCAGGGGAAACGTTTCTGGGCATGTAAGTCCAGTAGATGATCTTTCCTCACGTAACACCCTTCATAGAGTTCTGCTGTGCTGTGTTCTCATGCAATCCCTTTAATCATCAAAGATTGCTGTATGCCAGCTCTTCGCATTCGATAATGGTCTTCCTTATGAACTTTCTTTTAGGGCCCTATATCTGGCGGCTAGGCTTCTCAAAGATGGAGACAGTGCGGAATTGCGTACACAAGTGAAGAAAATATGGTGTTTTCAGCTGTTAACAACAGCGATTGGAAACAGGTTTGTCGCATTTTCCTAGAATGAATGATTTGTTGACTGAACTCGCCTTCCATAGTACTTGGAGCTGTTTCCAGTTGAGAATGGGCTGAGCTTGTTTTGGTGCAAAGGTTTTGACTGTTCTAAAATGTCTGCTATGGCACTAGAGATGCTTGTCATGGGGACAGGGTACAGAATCGGTGTTGAACACAGGTGGTCGTACTTTTTCCCGCTGAGGCGAGTCCATATTTGGTTGTTCGGAAAGGAGTGGATGCGTATTGTGGGCTTTGAGAGAAATTTTGTGCAGTTTTGGGAAAACTGTTCACGTTGTTTGACTTCTCTGCCGTGATTTTTCCTATTTCAAGTGTACTGAATACCTTATCCCCCCACTCGCACCCTCACGGACGATCATTTTTGGCTTAAAAAACTGGTAAATATCAGGAAAGTATAGGTAGTGTGTTGGGGCGGTTGTAGACGAGCTCCTCATTTAAGGTGTTTGGAGGGGGGGTACTGACACCCTTCTCTCAGTGGGAGGGGTTGTACCTTCATCACCATTTCACACATCACAATGCTGTACCCTGCATGGGAATCGTGACGTCATGACCTCTTGTCCCCCACTACTCTTAATGGTTGTGCCAGATTTATAGGGATTCGTCTATTTGGGTCGATGTGGCTATAGTTTTGGTCAAGATTACGTTGACCCTCCAAAAACGAATATCCTATTCACTTGGTGCGAAAACGTGTTCTCTTTAAGCGGAACGATATTTAAATCCAGTTATTCGAACTGTTTTTGGGGATAGCCTTTCACTAAATTTGGTGGTGTGGGGTATTGCGCTGCCGACTTGTGGGCCCTGAGCTAAGTGTTTTTGTGCCTTTAGGTGGTATTATTGAAAATTCGAGTGGAGGGTGGGCGTAGTGGGCAAGTTGCACGGTTACCACCTGCGCAGGTCCGGTGTCTATCCTCGATCGCATTCTCGCCCGAGCCAGCCGAAGCTTTCTACTCACTGGGAACACGTAATTTGTACCAGATCCTTCTGGGAGTATAAGAACACTGACCTGCACTTCGGCTATAGGCCACATCGTATACGGTAAGCCCTCTGCAGTACTGACTAAAAGTAGAATGCGTGCTGTCTCCCAAGAAGGGATTGATTAGCGGCAGAAACTTTATTCGTTTCTTATATTTTTGAAGCTGCAAAGGTCGAGCTTTTGTTAGGATAAATGTGTGGCCGTGTACCGATATTGCTCACTTGGCAGTAAGGAAAGTTCGACTGTATACTCCAATGGTGACGTGATCAACTGTCGCATATATTTCGAACTAAGAAACAATTGGTTAACCTAAGTATTTCACTTTTTTCGGCCAGTTTCAAGACCGAGGTGAAGGGAAATGAGTGGTTGGTTTGAGGGAGGGGGCACCTTGGAGCTCGATTCTACGTAATGATGTTCACTAAGCCTGTGCACAGGGCACGCCTTCGTTGTGATAATCACAAGGGGGGCGTATTTGACCGCGAGGGGGATCGTATTTGGTCTGAGGAAATTTTTTTTGATAGTTGGTTTTTCTTGTTCCACGGATGCTATGAAGTGTGGGGCTTGTATTTGCTCGCTGTTAAGAAGAGGGGGGGGGGGGGGGTCATGTTTGTCTTCGCGAGGAATTTGCGGCATCGGGAAAAAAACTTTCCCCGGTTTTTGAGGAATTTATCACAACGCGATGGCGTGCCCTGCTTGTACAGGCCACCACGCGAAGACCGGTACCTGATGATCAACTTGGTAAGCCCCCTCGAACAGTAGCTGGGTACCATTCAGAAGGGCTGAGTGGAGCTTTATTGTGCGACGACCTTCATTTGCTTATATATTTATGCTTTATAAGCCATCGCTGTTTTGTATTACAGAGATCTGATAAATTTTAGGTGACCAACCTCTACGAAGTTGCAGACACTCCTTATGGTGGTGTTCTCTAGAAGCCTTTATGTTCCGACAGACGGTACGAACACCTAAATGAGGATCTCGCTACAATCCCCCCTTCCCCAACACCTACCTACTACTTTCCTACATTTACCAGTTTTTTAACCCAAAAATTATCCGTCGAGGGTGGAGTGGGGGGAAGGTATTTAGTACACATGAAACAGGAAAAATCACGCGAAAAGTCAACAACCGGAAAATTTTTCCCAACGCGCAAATTTCTCTCAAAGCCACATACGACCCCCTCCTCTCCTAACAACCAAATATGACTCCCCTCAGCGGGAAAGTACGACCCCCTGTGTTCAACACAACGATGCTGTACCCTGTCCCCATGACAAGCATCTCTAGTGCCATAGCAGACATTTTAGAACAGTCAAAACCTTTGCACCAAAACAAGCTCAGCCCATTCTCAACTGGAAACAGCTCCAAGTACTATGGAAGGCGAGTTCAGTCAACAAATCATTCATTCTAGGAAAATGCGACAAACCTGTTTCCAATCGCTGTTGTTCACAGCTGAACACCATATTTTCTTCACTTGTGTACGCAATTCTGCACTGTCTCCATCTTTGAGAAGCCTAGCCGCCAGATATAGGGCCCTAAAAGAAAGTTCATAAGGAAGACCATTATCGAATGCGAAGAGCTGGCATACAGCAATCTTTGAATGATTAAAGGGATTGCATGAGAACACAGCACAGCAGAACTCTATGAAGGGTGTTACGTGAGGAAAGATCATCTACTGGACTTACATGCCCAGAAACGTTTCCCCTGGGCAGACGCAGTAAAAGTAAAAATGAGTGCGGCACAAGTATCTCACTTTGAGTTCTACAAAAATCTACGGGG